GCGTACCCCAGTCTGTAGTCGGCGCTCTCTTGGGAGGTGGCCAGCTCTGTCCACGGCGCGGAGGTGCCAAGGAGGCCGCGATGCCCGGCCTGAGCTCCATAACCTGACCAGTGACCAGCGTCTCGAGATCAGCTCGCAGGACCACTCGCGTGCCCCGCAACGAGTGATGCGAGACATTTTCTTGAAACCCGCATCTGCAGCCCAAGTTCTGACCTGATCGTCCTGGGCCCAAGGTGTCGGCGTCTTCTGTCGTATCCGACGCGGCTGTATACGCGCGACCAAGACGGTCTTAGATAACACCCCCATGGAACTGTTGCCGCTCGGCCGAGACACCAGCCCTTCTGGGGGCTGCCGTGGCCAGCCCTGCGATGCGACAGTGATAAACGTGAAAGCTGCTCATCTTCGGGTGTCGATGTCAAATGGGGACCAGCGCCGACCCCCGCTGGTGGAGAAATGCCCCCGCCGGGAGCTTCAAGGCGATGAAATTCTCGACGTGGGCCGGGCGCGCAATGATTATCGCTGCCGCCTCGCCCCCATGCGCCACCGCGCCCTTGGTCTTCAAAAGGCGTTTGGCCCAGTCGGCCTTCAGAACTAAGGCCGCCAAAGAAATGAGCTTCTCCGGCGTCTGCTGGAACGACCAATCCTCCGCGAAATCTCCGGCTACGGCGAGGCGGAAGCTGGCGGGCTTCTCTGTGGCCGCGGCGTCGACCATTCCATCCTTGTCGCCAGGCGGTAGACCAGTGCGACGAGAGGCCGAAGGCCCCATGAACAAAACTTGGGCCCCTAATTGGACAGCGCCGCCGTTGGGCCCCTCGACGGCAATCCCCTGTTCAACCCAGCCTTCTTGAAGCACCCCGTCTCCGAGAATAATGAAAGTAGCTGAGAGATGTGCCCTGCCCCCAGCCGTCCACCACGCCGTTGTAGTCCTTGAGAGAGCCACGCGCGAATGTGCGAGGCGTGTTCGCATCCAGATCTTTATCTTTGATGTGGATAGCCTGCCGAGCGGGGGGCCCGCCCCACGGATGCGGCAAAACCTGGTGGATCTTCGTCGGCGCTGGCAGCTCAGGAGGCGAGGTGGCGGCACCAGTGGTGGTCGACGCGCCCGCGGTCGAATCCTTCGACAAGTGAGATAAGGTGGCCGCGAGCTCCCTGCGGGTCGGCGGTTCCGCCTGCACGTCTGCCTGGCTGATCAGGCGTTTGAGGCGAATCAACAGTCGAGGATCTCGGCGGCGGCGCTCGCGCAGAGATGCTCGTTGTCGTGGTGGACGTGGTGGTGCCGATAACGGCGGCCGCGCCCCCCTACCTGGGCTGCCAGGTATAGCGCGGTCTCCTGTAGATCGGCAAGGCGGCCTGCTTGCGAAGCTTGTGGACTACCCCGTCTACGCCTCGCGCGCATGCTCTTTTTGCCCCCGCCGCCCCCTAGCAGCGGGTCCTCCTCGATGGGAGTCGAAACTGTGCCGTGGGCCTTCTCACAAGAGTTCGCCTGTGCGCTGGGATCGGTCAAATCTGGGGTGGTATTGCCGTGCTCTGCTACGCTGCGGGGCAGCGTCCCATTCTCGCCGGCGAGGAGGTGCATGGCGTAGAGAATGGTACGAATGAGCTCACGCATGCGCGCGGGGATGGACAGCTTGGAATCGCGATGCATGCTGGCGATGTTCATGCAATGCGTGCTAGAGCAAAGACCCTCGAGTGGACGCACGCGGCAAGGCTTCGCGGAGAGAAGAGGGAAATATGATAACCTCATCCCAAGGATTGGGGCAACAATAATCAACTCTGTAGCTGGCGGCGGAGCATCTTAAGCAAAGCGTGCTCCACTCGAACTTCCTGGCTACATGCAACCTTACGCCTGCCCGCGATGCTTACACGTGTGCTCCATTTTCGTTGGGCGTATGCATGTTGGGACCCTCTGCCCTGGATAGAGAGAGAGAGAGAGAGAAAGAACAAACAACACATTACATATATATATATATATATATATATATATACATATATATAGAGAGAGAGAGAGAGAGAGAGAGAGAGAGAGAGAACTTTCCAAGTTGCAATGATGGTATTGGCTCTGGGCAAAGGGGGGGCGCGGTTCTGACCAGCCATCTGCGCTGAGTGTTGCCGAGGAAGACTCCATCATCAAAATTATCATACCAGGAATCGTCTCATGAAGGCGCTGAAAAGGAAATTTACAAGGACGACGCAACTTACCAGACAGACCTCCCCTCCCTGCTGCGTGCGCGGGCAATCCCACATAGACCAGGCACGACCCCAGCAGCTCGTGGCCGCATGTTGTGAACCATGCGCGCTAGTATATGCTCGGGCTGGCGCGGAGGTTTCATAGCTGGCTGCCGCAACCCATGGGGCAGGGGCGAGCGCGGCGATGCCCAGCTTGGCCAACTCATCCATATTGGAATTAACAAGCAGACAGGTGGAGACGGTTGGTATCGGTCAGCCTCAACTCGAACGGCAAGTTTGCCTCGTCGCCGCGTATGCGGCAGAGCGTGCCAATGAAACCCTGCCCCGCGAGCTGCGAGCTGCGTGTCCTGAATTCAACGTCCGCTCCTGCGGCGGTGATCACCAGTCTGCTGCCGCGTGTAGTTCGCCCAGCGTATGCTTGCGACATCGTACATGGGAGGTGAAACCCTTGCATGTTGGCCAGGGGGTCGAAGCATTCACTGTGCGAGGTCATGAGCTGGACTGTCAGCAAATGTAATACTCCAGCTCGTCGCATGTTGTGGGCGCGCACCGTGGAACCTTCCTGCGGTGCGGTTGTTACGGCCCAGTATCGCACAACTGTTAAGCGCCCGACTAAGAAGCGGCCGAAGGAACCCACCCTTCCAGACCTTGCGAACATCGGAAACGTCCTCAATCCAAGCTCGGCGACTGGACCCGTTAGAACTTGAACTCGCTGCTTAACTGGCTGCTTTCATATGTGGAGGCGGAGCAAAGGATTCACGGTGTGGAACCAGAGGGCATGTCTGGCGAAAAACACATGCAAAATACCGCGAGAACGGAGAATAAGTGTAATCAAAAACCAAGCGACAACAGGTCAGTGACCTGAACACCGCTTCCCGTGTGCGCGGTCTGGCAAAAGACCAGGCTAGAACTATCGAGGCCCACGGCTATGTGAACCCAAGCCAAATTGCTAATTCGGTGCTAAGAACCCTCAAAACATTTCCGGCTGCGAGGCAGCAGGGGTAGAGGGAGTATGAGGAGGAGGAGGAAGAGGGGAGAGGACGAGCTGATGGAAGTCGAAGGAGGACAGGGTGGCTGTGATATAACAGTTGGGCGACTACGAGGTGGTTGCAAGGCAGCCTCTGAAGGCGTGCGCAGGAGCTCCGAGGTGCCTGTATCGCAACCGCTGCCTCCTTCCCTTCCCTGTCCTCTCGCACTTAAGCGGCACATGCATGCATAGGCGACGCGTCAAATCCAACAAGCCTTCACATTGTTACGACTGCAGCTGGGCCTTCCGAAGGCGGCAACGCCACGCGTGGTGGGTGGTCATGAAGACAATGACGATCGACATGAGGAGGCGGATGAGGAGATGAGGCGGACGACGAAGTACGTCAATGATCTACGATAGCCGCGAATGAGGTCATAACAAACATAATTATGATGCGAAGGAAAAAAGGGGCTGACGTCGGAAAGAGAGGGAGGAGGATGACAACGAGCAGAACAACGAGGAGGATGACGGAGAGAACAAGACATGGAACATGAAGTTGAGGGGGAATGCGGGACGTACGAGGAACAGGGCGAATGGCGACAAGAAGGGCCGAAGGTGGAGAAGAGACGCGGACGACGAGAGGAATTCAGTTTGTTCGAATTGTTCGATTGTCCCAAAACTTGGACAAGTCGATTTGTTCGAATTGCTGGTCCCCGGGTCTCCCGACCCCCTCCCGGAAGCGGTTTTCCATGGTGGATGTTTGACGGCCCCAGGGTCCAGATAGCGCCCCTGGACGTCAATTGTGGACAGACGAATGCAGCACTCCTGGATTTCTACACGTCGCCAGAGGTGTGGGGACGACGACGACGACGACGACGACAGGGGCTTGAAAACACCACCCCCCAAACAACTGCGTATCTTGAGATCCGTTCCGACGAGAGTCTCGAGGTGGGCCCAGCCGTGGCCAAGAGGGCGCCCCAGGTGGCCTCCGCAACCCGCGACGCGCGAGAGCCTCGACTCTCGAACCTCGATCTCCGCCGCAAGAAGACGACGGTGACAGGGGAGAAAAGGCCATGGCGACGCAGGGGGTTGCAGTACGGAGGGGATGGCCCCCGAGACCGCCAAGCGGCAAAGCCCGCACAGCTTGTGGAACCCCAAGCTCGCAAAAACACCGGACGGGTGCGCGGGCGGCGCGTGGAGGCGCGGGCGCCCGTGCTGCGCGCGCTCGCGCCCGGGCGGACGCTCACGAGCAGACGCGCGGGCTTGCAAGCGGGGCGCGCGCAACTAGGGGACACGCAGGCGCGCAGCCACGCGGGCGCACTCGCAGTCCAGGGAGATGTGCCCAGGATCTGCCCGGGGGCTGCGCGCGAGCCCGTGAAACGCTGCTTGGGGGCCGCCTCGGAGCTGCGCGCGACTTTCGGAAGCGATGCCTCGAAGCTACTTAGGCGCTGCCCACGAGCATTGGAAGCGTTGCCTCGGAATGGACCAGAGCCTGCGTACAAATTCAGGAAGCGCTGCGCTGCGCAAGCGTTTGCAACGCACGAGTGGGGAACGAATAAGACAGTGTTTGCGGGACGCGCTGGGATTTGCGGCTCTCCCTGGCCGGCAGCCATGGAGAGGAAATTGGTCCGCAGCCTGCCTGTGTCTGTTTCTGAAGCCTTTCGGTTCTCCACGGGAGCAACATGCGGACACACATGTACTCTTCGACCCTCTATGCTCTTCCTCCTCCTCGACCTCCTCCTCCTCCTCCTCCTCCTCCTCCTCCTCCTCCTCCTCCTCCTCCTCCTCCTCCTCCTGGAGGAAGGAGAAGTCGTTGCGACGCACGTCACCCAGCCCCCCCGCCAGCCTGGCTCGGCGGCGCGGCCGCCGCGGACGCGACTCCGGGCTCAGGGAAGTGGCTCGCCGAGATGCTCACCCTGGAAAAGGAAAGGGGGAGTGGGCGGGGGGCGAGGTGCTCCCTCTGGAAAGGGAGAGCGGCGTGCTTTTCCGCCCGCCCCCACCCCCCCTTCACCCCCTCCTCCCTCCTCCTCCTCCTCCTCCTCCTCCTCCTCCTCCTCCTCCTCCTCCTCCTTTCCCCTCCTCCTCTGCCCTCGTCCTCCCCCGTGCTCCCTCCGAAACACGGGTGTGCCATGCTTCCCCCGCCGAACCATGTAGAGCCTCTCGGGGCAGGAGAAAAAACAAGGAAAGAGCGAACGAAACCTGATCGGGTGTCGGTCCAGCCGTGTCGCGGCGCCGCCTGGCGACCAGCTCCGCCGCTCAGGTCGCGAGGGAGCGTAAGGGCGTGGCGTGCGGCGGAGATTGCGTTGCGGATGTCTTGGGGGGCCTTGTTCAAGCCGTCCTTGATGATGTGCTTGGCTCTCGTCGCCGCAGCCACCCGAGCGGCTGAAGTGATGCCGTTATCGCGGCCATACTCTGTGTCCAAGGAATGTAGCGCGAGACGAACCATGACCTCGCTGCTGAGAACCCCAAAAGAAATCGCGAGGTGGTGCAATATCTTGTTGCAGAAGAGGTAATGCGGGATGGCGTCGTCGTCGGTGCTTCCGATGACGCCGGAACGGCACTGTAGGGCGACGTAAATCCGCGTTGCAGTCGTCCATGCTCAAGAGAGGGCTGTCATCATGGCCTGCGCGCGGGCGGGCGCAAACGTCGCCGAGCGTGTGCGGAGGCGAAGCCAGCAATCAGGGAGATCTCCAGGGAATTGCTCCACTTGCATGAGATCTAGCGCGTCAGGGTCGCGACCGTCACCGCCGTCGCGGAGTGGCGGGTCATCGTCGCCAGGGGTGCGGCCACGATGGATGGGCACCCATCGACGGCGAACGTAGCGTTCATCCGTGGCGCGTCGGCGGGGAGCTGCTGGCTGTCTAGCGCGGCGAGGATCACCACCCACATGTCCGAGGATAGCAGATTCGACAGCGGAAATCGACGCGCCAGGCCGCCCAGTCCGCCTCGCAACTGGCGGGGCGATCTTGAAAGAAGAGCGTCAGGTAGCCAGCGAGCAGTCAAACGTGCAGCTCGGATCGGAAGGCATTCGCGCGCACGCACCGCTCGGGTTGCCGCTGGGTCACCATGAAGAGCAGATCGGTGATGAGGAAACCTGGCGACGATTCGCTTCTAGATCGCGATGCGGAAGGTGTCAAAGTGAAGCCTGTCTTAGAGCAAGTTAATATGCCCTCTCAGGGGTGAGCCGCGCTGGTTTCTTGTCGCTGTCGCCGACGTTGTTCTGCAACAGTGCAGCGGCGCCGCGGGGTGCAGCGTGCTCACGAGCGGCCGCGATCGCGCCCTGCGCGCATGATGCAAATCCTGGGCAACGAACGGGCCTCTCGCAAAAGGAGCTAAGATCCTGCGCGAAGAGGTGGGGGCCCCAGCAAAAAAGCCAGTTGCCCTGCGCGGCGCCCGCGATGTTCGGACGGGCGAAGGCGCTCTCGAGAATCGCGCTGCGCCAGATGCCCCAGTTCGGGGCGCTCCGCCGCGTCGCTGCCGCCGTCAACGCCCCGACGTCGTTCAAGACTTCGCGCCAGCCCAGCGGGCCACGCCGAAGCAGTCGGTATCGGCGAAGCTATCCGGCGCCGACCTCAGTTGTCCGCAAATGTCCGGGCGTTCCTTCGCGGGGATGCCCCGGGGAACGGGGGGGGAGGGGCTCGTGCAACTGGCCCGCGTAGGACAGGCAAGAGACCGCTGCGACATCGTGGATTTTGATGCTTCCGTTGCGAGGGCACCCGGAGTCCGCCGGCTCCAGGGGGCGGCGCCGCACCTTGGAAGCGGGGGCGCGCCGTTGATCGCGCGAGCCGGCGACGGGGCCGACAGTGGCGAGGTGTCGAGCCTTGCCCTGGATCAGAAAGCTCCCCCCTGGGACATGAACAGCATGACGCAACCAGGTCGGCGCGACTATGCGCCCCGTGGACTGGGGCACGAGGCCAGCGAGGGAGTCGGGGGCGAGAGGATGGGGAGCCGGTCGTTCGATGTCCATGAGCCTTGCGAAGATGATCCCAAGGTCGTCGGCGCATGCGCGAACGAGACCACGCTGGAGAGCTCGAAGTTCGGCGGCCAGAGCGCGCGCCACTGCGCCGCCCAGCGGGCGGCCTCGCGCTGCGCCCAGGTCGGCACACAGCGGCGGGCCGAGGGCGCCTCCGAGACAGGGGTGCGACAGCGGGAATGCGTGGCGCGCCCCGAGTAGCTGCCTCACATCACAGTGCAATCCCCGCCGTTGGGACCGCCAGCGTCCATTGTCGGTTAAGCGATATTGGAAAGGTGCGGCCATGCCCGTGGGGGCGAGCGCGAGAAATTGTCCCTCGGCTTCAGGCGCGGCATTGGGTCTGCAGGCATCTGCGCCCAGCGTGACATACTTGCCCAGGAATTGGCGACCTCTGACAAAACCCTGCTGCTTCTCGGCGGCCAGTGGGGCTGTCGCGCTGAGTCCTTGTTCGTTGCGGAAGCGGTAATATTGATGCCTGTGTTCTCCGTGCTGAGAGGCCGGAGGGTGGCTGGAGCGCGCGCGCACTCGATGTTCCCCAGAGGCTCGACTCCTGTCGGCAGCGTCGCCATCGTCGCGTGGTCGAGGTCGCGCGGGGCGTCCGCGGTGACGTCGCTGTCGGAGAGCGTCGCGGCGATGACGTGGTCGGAGAGTGTCGCAATCGCGCGGGCGGCGCCAGGGGGGCGCATCCACTCCCGACGCGGGGGGGGGGGGGCGGGGGGGGCGTCGGGGCCTGGAGTCGCGCGACGCAGAGCATGGAAAGGTCGCCTTTACCTGGGGGGGGGGGGAAAGGAGGCGGGGTTGCCGCGGGCAGTCTCCATTGAAGTCGCTCGCGATGGCGATTTGGGGGGCGTCCGAGGCATGGGCGGCTGGCGCTCAGTGGTTGAGAATGGCCGCGAGCATTTGGCTGGGCTCCACGGCAACGGCCGGCGTCGACCCCGACGCCCGCGCGGATCGGGAGACGAGAGAAGAGCATCCACGGTTCACCCCTACTGCCCGCAGGGCCTGGCGGCCGCGCTGCCCCCAACGATCGCCGATGGCAGCGCGATGTGGGGCGCGAAGGCACGGAGGCGAGCGGCAGCTTTTGCGCGTCGTTCTTCGCTGCGACCAGCATGGGCGGTGTCTGTCTTCCTGGTAGATGCTGCCGCGACGTTCTGCGCGACGGTGGCCGACCTCGGCGCGCGCGGTGAACTTCTCGGCCAGAGGTGCATCCTGGCGCCAAACTGCTCGGGCGATGCCTCAGAGGGTCGCGCCGCACACCTCCATCATAGTGTTCCTCAGCTGGCTGGTGAGTTGCGCCGCGGGGTCGGCGGCCGCGACGCGCGTGGTTTTCGCGGGGCGCCGCTGGTCAACGGGCGAAATCTGGAAAATGGGATGGGGCCCGGCAGTCTTCTCGAAGTAGTGGGCGCAGTGCGGGGGGGTCGACAGCGCAGGCGGGAAGGTCGCGGTCTCGCCCGGGGCGCTGGCGGGCAGGGCGCGCACGCGGCTGCGCGATCTCAGGGTCGCTGACCATTCCATCAGGAAGCTCCAGATGGGGCGCTGTCAGCGTCGAGGGCCGCCCCCACCGTCGGCGCGATGTGCGAGGGCAAGATATTGACGCAGCGGTCGATCGTGGACTCCGTCATGTTCGCGACGCTGCGGCGGGCGGTGGGGACAAATGCTGGGAGGAAGGGCCCTCCCAGAAGACGGGTCAGCACTGGTAGTGTTGTGCTTCGCTCGTGGACGAGCCCGCAGGGGCGTCGAGGCTCTCGGGCGGGATCTCCGCGATGTTGAAGTCGCCGAGCATGGTGGGCGCGCGCGGCGTTGGGCCTGCTGCCGCGCGAGCACGATGTTGAAGCAAGCGCTGTCTGATGCCCTCGCGGTCGCTCGTCGAGCGGTCGCGGATGCGGACGTTGAGCGCAGTGGCGTCGAACGCCCCGGTGGCGCCCGCGATTCTGAGTCGGGCAGATCTCCGTTGAACCACTTCGGCGGAGGACCGCAGATGGCGCCTGTCAGGCGGGCGGCCCGGCTCGACCGCGCCGATGCTAAGCGGGGAAGCCAGAGCCGCCAGCGGACAGCTGCGGCAGTCCACTGCGCGCGGGCAGGCTCGCCAGGAGCGGCGCCAGTGCGCAGCTGGGCGGGGGCCTCGCAGGCGACGCAGCCATGAGCGCGGTGAATCCGAAGGTCGATGGGCGGGGGGCGGTCGCCGATGAGCTTGGCGACGCGTTTGACCCAGGCCTGTCTGCGGACTGTCTGCGGCCCCGTGCCCGCCGACGCGTGGGGCGAAATGGGGCGGCGCCAGCGACGGGGGCCCGGCGCGCCCGCCATTGGCGGCCAACCCGGCATGCTTCGCGTTGTTCGCGGACGCGCGGCCCTGCCGCACGCGCGCCGCCCGCGTCGGTGAAGCTGCTGCGCTTGGCGAGCCTCGTTGCGTTGAAAGCAATGTGCTCGTCGCCGACCTGCGCGGTCTGGAGCGCGCGGCCAGCGCGATCTCGCGGTCGAGTCGTCGGTGGCGACGGCGGTGGCGCAGCCGCGCGAGAAGGCGAAGGGGTTGGCAGGGCGGCCTCAGGCGCCGATGGCGTCCAGATGGAGCCAGGACTGGCGGAGCTCGGCGTCGCCCGCGATGCGCTGAGCTATTCGACGGATTCGCGCATGGCGTGGAGGCCGGCGGCGACCGCGGCGGCCGGCTGAAGGGGCTGTACTCAGGCGGCTGCTGCGACGAACTTGGCGGCGGCCGCGACTGGGCGGCGGCCATCTTGACATGCGCCACGAGAATGGATACTAACACTTGTCGGGTTGAGCAAAGATTTCATGCGCATGTAGTTTGGAGGCCGCGTTGACAAGTGCGCATACGTCGGGGGCGCGCTGCGTCTGTCCGCGGCTGGGGCCCCTGCCCCAATCTGGACGCCGCCGTCGATTTCCCCGCCGCAGTCGAGCTCCGCGCGGACGCAGGCATGCTCGATGGCG